CCTACAGATTGAACAAGTAGGGTGAGAAGATGCAACCCTAATGCACACCCTCATGATTTGCAACCACACAGCGTGCCCCTGTTCTGTTCACACAACTGCCTCCTGATGCATGTACAGGTTCTGCATGGGCACGATGTAGTCTTCCGGGATTCCCATTCTTCTCAAGGCTATCTATAGTTTGCTGTGATCCGCACAGTCAAGCGTCTTAGTATCCTCAATCATTCAAAACTCACTGCCATTTCATCAATCCTGACTCATAGTCAATAAAACACAAGTAAACATTCTGGGCTTTCAGTCAAAGTCCGCCTGACATTAGCAATGATATCCCCCTTCCCCCATCCTCTTCTGCATCCGACCGGAGCCTCTGGCAGGTCCCTGTCAACGCACCACTGCAACCATCGTTGATGGTCTCCAGCAAACATTTCCTTGCATGTGATATTAATGAGATTGTTCTACAATCCGAGCATTCTGCTGGGTCACCTTTCTTTGGCATGAGTACAGCTATGGATCTCTTCCAGTCAGCTGGCCAAGTGGCTGTTTTCTAAATGCCCTGGCATAGATGAGTGAGTGCTTCCAGGGTCTCATCAGGAACCTTGGGAGTCGTCAACATGACAGTGCATCGATACAGCTGTCCCAGGCATTCGTGACTTGAAAGGCCAAGAAGGTGTGTTTCAGGTTTGTATCCTTTGACTGTATTCATTCGACCAGCATGCCGAGCAAATAGTCTGAGACGACGGACCACGTGTAGAAGAGTGTGTCGTCAGGGTCGGAGGCAGGCTCATCAACACCCTGCGGCATGCAAGCGACACAGCATTGCTTGTTGAAGTCCGGCCACAACGCTCCTTAAAGGCAAGGATCAGTCTCACGTGCTTCGGACATGCCATCAGGAGAGGCCAGTCCCTGCAGAAGGACATCGTGCCTGGTCAAGCAGAGGGGCCGTGAAAGGGAGGAAGGCCGTTAGCAAGATGGACGGACACCGTGGCTGCAACCGCAGCTCACACGAGGACCACTGTGACGTCAGTGAGCACCTGATGGCATTTCTTCTGTTGTGTGTGAGGCCGCTGCGAGTCGGTGTGAACAACAACTTGTTGAAAGCCGAGAGGGCTTGACGCACTTACTGATGACGGTCAAAGACACAATTTAAACATTTGAAAAACAATAATGACATGAATGACACTGAGTACAAGGAGGAAAAGAAGCTGGCCGCCTTTATTATGGATTCCAACTCAGTGTAAAGAAACCAGAAACCCTCACAAGGGGTCCAGTAGACCACGCCATCCTAAACGGGGAAAGCATCAAAGGTTTCATTTAACTCGGACCCCAGTCACCGCTCACGGATGGACGCAGCAGTCACGACATCCAGGGGCAGAGCTGACGCTCAGGAACTCTCTACATGGCCACAGAGCAAGGACGTCACTTTGAGGACTAGGGTGCACCTGACCCAGGCCAAAATATTTTTACTGTCCTCCTCTGAAAGGTGGACCAAGCATAAGGAAGACCAAAGAAGAACGGTGCCTCTCAGTTAGGGTGGTGTTGTCTTGTTAGGGGCCGTCAGCCGGTTCTGATTCATACCATTGAAACACTCGCCGGCCCGCGCCATCCTCACCATCACCATCGCTACGTGTGAGCCCAGGGTCGCAGCCACTGTGTCCATCCGTCTTGTTGGGGATCTTGCTCTTTCTCGCTGCCCCTCTCCTTTGCCAAGCGCGAAGTCCTTCTCCAGGGCGTGGGCTCCCCTGACAACGAGTCCACGGGTGTGTGAGGAAGTCTCACCACCCTCCTCTCCAAGGATGCACTTCTTCCAAGACACATTCGTTCGTTCTTGGGGCAGTCTGTGGTACTTTCAGAGTTTGTCCCCAGCACTCCTGTTCAAATGCATCGACTCTTCTCTGAGTTTCCTTATTCATAGTCAAACTCTCACCTGCAGACAGGTGATTGAAAATAGCATGTCTTGGGTTAGGCACAACTTAGTCCTTAAAGCAACCTTTTAAAAGAGGTCTTTGCATCCGATTTGCCTAACGCAACACATCGTTTGATCTCTTGATTGCTGCTTCTGTGAGCACTGATTGTGGATCCGAACAAGACGAAATCCTTAACAACTTTAAGCTTTCTCCATGTACCACGTTACTGCCGTGAGGATTGTGGTGTCTTTACAGTGAGTTGTCACCCGTACGAAAGGCTGTGATCTTTTTTTCCCCTCTCCTTGTTATTCGTGTGATTGTTTTTAATGTGGCAAGAGTATACACAATAAAACACCCTCCAGTTCCACAGCTTCTGCACGGACAATTCAGTGCCATTGATTATACTCTTCATGTGGTACAGCCATTAGTGACATCCTTTTACAAGCTATTCCACCACCGTCAGCGTAAACTCAGTGTTCCCTGAGCAACAACTCTTCCACCTGCAGCATGGTTCCTCTTCCCTCTTCCTAGACAGTCCCTTGACGTAGTGTTCGCAAATCATACACTTCCATAGTTACATCGCTTTAAAAAGACGTGCATAGACATCATCGCAATCACAATCCGTTCTAATGTTCCCTCCCCTCTTGCACTCATTGTTTGCTCCCCAAATCCTCCCCACGCCCCCTCCACGTCCCTGATAAGCCATTGCATCACTTCCTGTCTCTTTGCATCCACTCCCTCTGTGCTTCCCAAACTGGGAAACCCAACAGAAACACGGAAAAGAACCAAGGAACGTCCAAACCCAAACCACTGCAGGTGAGTCACTTCTGAGCCCTGGTGGGCCTAGAGGACAGAGCGGGACTCTCTCCCCGGGGTCCTGCAGCTGTCGTCTTGGTGGAAGGGGACGGCCACAACTTGTTCCCATGGTGCGCTGGTGGTGGGTTCGAACCACACCCTTTCAGCCAGCACCTGAGTCTTAGTCCTAGGGAATGTCTAGGACTAGGGACAGGAAAGAGTCAACATATCGAAGACCCTGTTTGGCTTCCAGATCTGTGAGGAAATGAATGTTGAGTCTTTAAATCAGCCCCGCCTCTGTCAGAGCAGCCCCAGGAGACTGAACTTCAAGCACGAGGCAGGAGAGGGGAGCCTGGGGCTCTGACGAGAAGGCAGGGACACGAGGTGGACAGTGGCGCGTGCTCTGCTCCTCCTTGGACTGTGAGCTTCCTCAGGGCAAGACGGGGTCTTCTTGTTACCCCCCCACCCCTACCCCACCCAAGGGCTTAGGGGTGGGGAGCCGCTCCTAAGTCATTGAGCTACCTAGTTCACTTATTCCATTAACACAAGCAAACAAACAAACAAACAAACAATTGCAGAGCGCTTACTCTGTGCCTGTCTCTCTGCTTGAAGGGCAGGCAATGCAGCCATATCCAGAGAAAAATGTACAAGGTCACGAGGGACAGTGACAAGAATCAGGAAGGAACAGTAGAGCAAACTACTGTACAAGGACAACGAGCACTGGAAGAGGGCTTTGAAGACCGGTGGACAGAGGCCTGAGGGCCGGTGGGTGGCTGCCTTGGGAGAGGAGCAAAGAACAGCAAGTGCCAAGGCTCCAGGTGGGAACCATAGACTACCCCCCCACCCCCACCCCATCCCCATCCCCTGCAGGTGGCTAATGGGAGCTGACTGCCCCTTTCCCAAGTTCCCGCTCCTTCCAGGCTAAGCAGTGAGAGTTCCGTATCTTGAGCCTTCTCTAGTAGGAACATCCTTCCGTCCCCCCCTGATTTCTAGGTTCTAGAAGGAGCCCTGAGTGGAGGGGAAGAGAGAGGGGGAGCCTCACGAGTCCTCAGGCGGGACTCTCGGCTTCCCTGCTGTTCATCTGGGTGGAGGGGCAGTCAGTGTGGCCACACAAAGTGCCTTCACTGTAATGCTACGTGATAGCATGATGCCTCACGAGGGTGGTCCTCTACAATCCCAGAAGAGCCTCCATGCCTGAAAGCCTCTGCCCAGACAGTGTTTGCCTCATTTATGTTGTTTGAGCCTCGCAAGGGTCCCACGTGGTGGGGCAGGGGCAGCACCCCAGGGTCCAGGAAGTGAAGGCAGACCTCAAGTCTGGGCTTCCAGCAGTGATAACATGAGGGTAGGGGGAAGGGGGTGGGGGAAAAAGGGGTGACCAATCACAATGATTGACATATACCCCCTCCCTGCTGAGGGGGATGAACAACAGAAATGTGGGTGAAGGGAGACAGCGGACAGTGTAAGCTATGAAAATAATAATAATTTATAATTTATCAAGGGTTTGCAAGGGTGGGAGCATGGGGGAGGGAGGGCAAAGCGAGGAGCTGATATCAAGGGCTCAAGCAGAAAAAAAATGTTTTGAAAATGATGATGGCGACATATGTACAAATGTGCTCAGTACAGTTGATGTATGGATTGTTCTAAGAGCTGTAAAAGCCCCCCATAAAACGATTTATTAAAAAAAGAAAAGAAATCTCCAGGTGTTTAGGAATGGACTGTCATCCAAGGGCCCCAGAAGAGAACATAGTTGTTTTTTGGTTGTTTGTTTCTTGGTCAAGGTAATTTGAAAATGCTGCTAGACTTTAGGTCTCCTGGATCCCCCTGGTGGGGCCTCCTTAGAAGCCTCTGCTCCTGGCCTCTGCCCACTGTCTCTTCTCACCCAGCCAGAGACCCTGGGGAGCCTGGGCAGAGACTCTGTTTCCCCGGGTGGGGACAAACAGCCCTTTGGTGGGGCAGGGACTAAGCGCTTGCTGGGTTGCTCACTGGAGGGCTGGCGATTCCAAACCCATCCGCGGGTTCGTGGGAGAGACGTGGTGATCTGCTTCCCTAGAGGTGACAAGCTAGGACTCCCTTGAGATGGTTCTGCTCGCCCTGCAGGGTTGCTGTGAGTCACACTCGACTGGGTGGTGAGAGGCCAAGGCCAGTAACGGTAGCAGCGATCGAGCGTAAGAAGGCACTCATCGTGTGCTGGTCCTGTGTGAAGCACCTTTTCAACCGTCTCATGACCCCTGCTGCTTCACCAGGAGGTTTTCCAGGAGTGAGGGGTCATGGTTCACACATGAGACTGAGTATAAGCAGCCTCACCCTTGGCCCTGGTGTGGCACCGAGGGGCCAAGGCCCAGGGCATCCATCTGGCAAGATGAGAGGTGGGGTCTGGCTTGATTTCCAGAAAAGCTGCCGCCTTTCTGGTCCAGGCTCCAGCCTGGGGGATGTGGGCCCTGCTGGTGCCCAGCCGCCCTCTTCGGGTCGGAAGCCCATCCTCCTGCGGTCCTCCCTGTTCCCGATCTCCACCTTCTCGTGGCCCTTGATGTCCCCTACGTCAGGAATGCTGGAGCTGCTGTCAGAGCTCAGACGTGAGGGTGAGGGGGTCTGGAAGGAGAATGAAGAGGGGGAACGGAGGGGAACAGTGGGGTGCAGGCACATTGTAAAGCAGGCAGAAAGAAGGTGCTCAATAAATATTTCATTAACTTTTTTCCCTCCCTTCACCCACTTTTCTGTTGTCCGCCCCCCTAGGGAGGGGGTTATATGTAGATCATTGTGATCGGTTCCCCCATCTCTCCGCCTTTCCCTTCCCTTCCTGGTATCAGTACTCTCATTATTGGTCCCAAGGGTTTATCTGTCCTGGATTTCCTGTGTTTCCAGCTCTGATCTGTACCAGTGTACATCCTCTGGTCTAGCCGGATTTGTAAGGTAGAATTAGGGTCACGATAGTGGGGGAAGGAAGCATTTAAGAACTAGAGGAAAGTTGCAGGTCTCAACGGTGCTATACTATACTCTGACTGGCTCATCTCCTTCCTGCGACTCTTCTGTAAGGGGATGTCCAGTTGCCTACAGGTGGGCTTTGGGTCTCCACTCCGCACTCCCCCTCATTCACAATGATATTATTTTTTGTTCTGGGTCTTTGATGCCTGATACCCGATCCCATCGACAGCTTGTGGTCATACAGGCTGGTGTGCTTCTTTCATGTGGACTTTGTTGCTTCTGAGCTCAATGGCCACTTGTTTATCTTCAAGCCTTTAAGACCCCAGACGCTATGTCTCTTGATAGCCAGGCACCATCAGCTTTCTTCACCACATTTGCTTATGCACCCGCTTTGTCTTCAGTGATCGTGTCGAGAAGGTGGGTGCTTCCCTTTCTGATGGGGATGAAGAGAAAGAAGCACAATCCTGCTCTTTGTGTCCAAGTGATACTTTGACAAGAAGCTCAAATGTGCACCCTCAGAACAGAGGTGGGTACGCACGTAGGGTTAGAGTGAGCCTTGCAGTCAACACAACTTGCCATGAATCCTGCCTTCGCTTCCTGGTGACCAGCACATGCCCTGATTAGCCTTGGGCAGGTGGCTTGAGGTCTCCTTGCCACCATTTCCCCATCTATAAAACGGGATGGGACTAGGCATGGCCATTTCCATAGGGCTGTTGGGAAGCTCTAGTGGGATGGGGCCTGTCTGGGGCTGCCCTGCTCTGGACACATAGTTCTGATGCTGCTGTACAGTTGGCTCCTGACTCCTGGTGACGAGAAAATGAAATGCTGCCTCTTGTGTCATCCTCGTGATCCTCTGTGATGGAGGAGTGGTGACTGCACATGCGGGGCATCGACCCAGATGCCAACCTGGGTCTTCCACGTGGCAGGTGAGAATTCTGGCGCAGAACCATCCATGCATTACGACACACAGTTGACAAACCTGGCCAGTCTCTGCCAAGTGGCTTTGGGCTCATGGCCACCCCGCACACTGCAGAGTGGAAGGACTGCATAGCATTTTCATGGCTGTAACCTTGCTTCGAGAACTAAGGTGC